AGTTGAGATGTACCATTGTTTGGAGTCTCTTTCAGAAGACAGAGTCCAGGTCAAGGAGAAATCAGCAGTAATCTGATAAAATCTATGTTCTAAGTCAGATGATTTGCCAATTGACTTCAAAACAAAGATCTTCTTAATTATGTTAAATGAGTTGTTCACCTGAATTTCCTTGTAATAAGCCCAAATGTTGAAACATGGATAGACAGGTACTTTTTCCTTCTTTCAAGCAAGCTGCTCTGACTGGAAAACACTTCCTGGATGCTTCTCAGTGTCATGAAAAGACCAGAACAATAGCACAAATGGTACGTTCATACCAGAAATTTGAGCTGGGTGGAAACTGGGTGGATTGAAGCGGAATTAAAAAAAAAAGTCAAGGTGAATCTTAAAACAGTTTTAAAACTCTGAAAAACAACTGAGGGCAGAATCACCATCCTAAACGTGAAACTGCACATCAAGGGGTGAATACGTTTAAGACAAACACCTTTGTCTTCAAAATCAGAAGTAAGAATAAAACCTCCTATGCTGAAATTAATTACATGGGGCCTCCTCCACTACTGCCAGTTCCAGAAAAAAGTACTGGGTTTTTTTTTTTATTTTGCATTTCTTTTGGGAAGGTTCCTTGAAAAAGTTTCAAGACGACCAGATGGCTGAATGAGACATCCATTGTAACAGCTGACCCCACCACGTGGGAGGCAAGCCAAGGCCAAGCTTCCAGAAAAGTAGAAAGTGATTGCCAATCCAGGGTAAAGGAAAAAACAATATTAGTTCTATTGAATGCTCACTTTGGTATCAAATATGATCGTGTACGAGAAGCCTCCAATTCTGGAGCAAAGAAAAAGGCTGAGGATTATTTGTAGTGGATTTTGTCTCTTCTCCAGTAGCTCCAAGGTTTTCAGTTAAGAGCAACATTTAGCAACAAAGAACTGTCTGAAAGGAGACTATCAACACAAACGGTTCTTCCTGGTGGTTAAGATCCAGTAATAACATATTTGAATCTTGTAAGGCGTGGAAGGCCTCACCCTCCTGCTGCTGAAAAGCTCACTGCTTTCCAACAGAAGACTGTAACTATTTCTTAGTCCTATCCAGGAGTGCCCAAGGATTGGAGCCTTTATGGCTATTATCATGGCTATGATGCCAGATATACCAAGTACAACTGCAGTAAGTTACAGTCAGTCAGCTGTACCCCTACACCATGCCCTGGGGCTCTTTCTAACCAGGGAATCAGTTCATCAACTAGGTTGGCCAGTTCCAGTAAGAGAACAATCTGACAGTGAGCCACCCTCATCTGGAGGCTAACCAGCAATTACACCCACTTAAACCACCAGCTGGTTTCTTTAAGACTTTCTTTACCTATCAGGCTCATGGTTATTTTGATTTCTTAAATTGCGCCTTCTGCAAACTCCCTCACGGAACACCTCCTGAACTCCTATAGCATACCCAGGAGGGACAAACGCATAGGCAGAACACGATTCTCTGGTATGCCTATCAAGAGAAAAGAGCATACTCTCTCCAGAAAAAGAGGCCTATTCTATAAGGTGCTATTGCAAACTAAGCCATAACAGTGTATTTTCAAGAGCATTGCAGGGACTCCAAAGAAATATCCCCCCACAAAACCAGTTCAGCACAGATGGCTGGGACACAGCTACTCAGTGTAATAGGAGCGTTTTTTCATGCCACAGAGGACCAGGGAGTAGCCACTCAGGCCTCTCAGCACAGTAGATTGAAGCACAGTTGGTGCTAGGGTGGCCAGCAGGGCAAAGTGGGTTTGCAATTTAAAGAAGCCAAGAATATGGTATGCTGGAGACCACGACTGGCACTGCAAAAAGCTAAGTATCAACTCACTGAAACAAATACCATTGTCAATAAGGTGGAAGTCCAATGACCCTTTTGTCCACCTGAAGGTGTCAAAGGAGAAAAATCTGTATGTCGTTTCTTGACAGGTGCTCCTTCCAGCCGGAGATGCTTGTGGAGCAGCCATGCTAATCTCAGAGAGCAAACCTCCAGGCAGAATTTGAGCATTCTGGAGTGCTAAGCAAGAAAGTGAATCGAAATGGTTCCGCTCTCATCTTTCTTTGCCTCACTCTCCTGTGAAAGAGGGGTGCCAGACCATCTTCTGCTTTTTGAAGATGTACTGCCAAAACAGTTTCTGAACAAAAGGTTTCCTCGAAATCCAAGTGGGAACTGAGTTTGCATATTACTACCCACAAGTGAAACTCTCAGATGCTGCAAAGCTGGCTCCTAGCATAGCCTTTGTAGCCTGCACGTGGAAGAAAGGAAAAAGACTGTCACTATACAAACTTGATATCTGACCATCTCAGATACTGTACTCTGGCTCTAGCAAAAGCAAACTGCAAAAGTAAGGCGTCTGCTTACCCGTATTCTGTCTTGCTACCACAGATGGTGGCGAAACTAGTCACAAAATTATGTGTCGGCTCACATTTTAGTTCCCATGGAAGATATGCATGTACAGGAGGGAGGGGCCCCAAGTCCTGTTTGATGCTACTCTCCACACCTTGCACATGAGAAACTGTAGCTCCAGATACAACCCTGAGTGAAAACTACACATCACACAGAGGGCAACACCAGGAAAGGGACACAGCAGTCACACAGGTCCCATATCTAAGGACAAACTTCAAAGGGCATAGCACACCATGAGGGAAGAAAGGAAGAATCCTCCACTGGAGACACCAGCAGGATGACAGACAGGTTCTCCTGACCAGGCACCCACCTCTCCAAGAGAAGCAGACGGGGAATTCTTCCTGCGGAGATTTTCATCTGGGAAGAAGTCCTGGCGGGCTCGACGGCCCATCTTTAGTACCTGTAGTGCAGGGGGAGATGTGAAGGAGCAGAGGGCACACAGTTACTGACAAAAGCTGCTTCAGAGCAGGTGGAAAAACGCAAGCGACAGCTCTGCAGTCACGCTGTGCCCTGCAATGAGACACGTTCCCCGGCACCGTGCAAAACCGTTACCAGCTGCAGGTGTCAAGCCTGCAGCCGCCTCCCAGCCCGCGGCCGGTGCGTGGGTCACGCTCCTCCATCTCACCCGCGGGCCGCTCAGT